CTAGCTCTTCTACTAACTAGCTTGACTATGACAGATCATCTAAACTCCTAAGTCTCACTTTCTTTACTGTAAAGAGAGGGTCCTAGAGAGGTGCAATGATTAAATCAGGCAATACATGTGAAGAACTTTTAGCATCTTGCCTAATATAACACATGTTCAACAAATGATATTTGTAGTTATAATGGTGGAGCAAGAGAAGAGTGGCAGCTTACAACTGCGATCTTTGGAGTACAAAAACTATGCATTATTCATACTTGTATACCTTTAGTTCTTTACCCATAACTGTGCTTAGAGAGGTGCCTTTCCCAATGTAAGACAACCTATACTATACTCTGATGTAACTAACTGCATCATTCTGTTAATAAACAAATGGAAAAAAGCACAACTTTCTGATATATTCTCTGTGCCTGACTGGAGTTTCATATTAACAAGAACCTCTTTAATTTAGTCATTTCTTAAAGGACATGACTTGAATCTTCATTTACACTTAATTCCAATATCATATGGCACACACCAAGTGTATTAACAAAGCTTAAACAATCCTTTATTTTTCTCCCTAATGAGCACAGAGACATGCTATTTTTTTGTTTTTTCTAAATTTCCTAACAAAGCAAACCACCTGACTCTGCTTATATCCTATGTTAAATATTTATGGAGCATCTCCAGTGAGCTGTGATATGGACAGGAAATAATACAAGATCTAGTCTCTAGTGCTTAGCACAAGTAAATTTGTTAAATAAATTACTCCTTATTAAAAAATATTAGCTTCTCTTCAAACTGAAAATGTTTGAGTTGTATTTGATCACTTTTTGTCACTGGGACCAAATACCTGACATATGTGAGGTATGATTATAAAACACGGTGAATGCTTAAACAAAAAATAAATATTACAGTAAAAGACACATTGTCATCAATCCTTCTTGAAATACTTCCCTCATTTTGAACACAGTTATCCCATCATGCTTGCCATTTTCTGAGGCAGTTCTGGAAGTCTACTTTCATAAGTGTTTTTAGTTCCATTGTCCTGGTTGCTTTGATGTCCTGAATTGATTAAAAATGTTTACCTTTCATGGTTATTTTGACTTTGAGGAAGAGCCTGTCTTTTTGTGATGGCACTTATAGCAGTATTCATTGTGTTTTCCAATCACACCTTGTAAAGATACTTGCGAAAAAGACTTCCAGAACACCTTCAGAATGTAGCAAGAGTGATGGGATAAGTATGTTCAAAGCAAGGGGGAGTATTTGGGGTGTGTGTGGCAATGTGTCTTTTAATACTTTAAAAAAATTTAATTACACACTGTATTTTTTGATAAGCCCTTTTACACAATTTAAAGGAGGAGAGGTTTCTTTGGCTTATGGTTTCAGTCCATGGGTGGCTGGTTTCAGGGCAGAAACACCATAATGGAAGGGCATGGCAGAGCAAAGATACTTAGTTCATGATGAATGGAAAGCAGAGCAAGTGAATGTTGCCAGAAAGGAAGAAGCCAGCAACCAGATATAGTACCCAAGGTTGCACCTCCATGACCCACTCAGACACACCCAGAAGTGTGGTTTACCCATCCCCTGTATGGCTCCCAAACCAACCAATTAGACAATTAATGCTGACTGTTGTTACACAGTGATTAAAGCTGACTTTGCATAAGAGGGAAATGTGCAGGGAAATGGGCAGGGCCACTGTTAATATTCTCAATGAACTCCACTATTCCAGGGTGAGCTGTAAGACAGTGAATAAGATTTCACAGCAAATTGTTTTCATGAGTTGTTTTTCTACTATCATTAAATACTAAGTCACATGCCACTATTTTGACATTTTTATTTTGGGTGACACACAGTTTAAAGTGTATGGTATTTTTCTTGGAAGGAGCTAAACAAAAATAATTTTTTGTTTAAAACAGGAAGGAAATTACTTTCAGAATAAGCTAAACACATGTTCCCATGAAGAGAATGAAGCTGCAAGTAGATCTCAATTCACGAAAGGAAATTATATGGAATTTTTTGTGAACGGATATAAATTAGCCTAAAATGTTGAGCAAGCAGTAAAGGTAAAACTATTAGAGATTAAAGACAGTATTGTAAAAACTTGGAAAACTGGTAATTATTTATTAAGATTTTGTTTAAACCTCTGTAAGGATGACTATCACTTGAAGAGGCTCTCTGACTAGAACATTTATTATAAAGACTGTTTTGGAAGAATTATAACCTACACTTATCAATCTAACAGAAATATGTGAGTCTGCGACAAGTAAATATTTTCATATCTTGTATGAAGATGGAATATCATATTTCTTTTTATTTAGAGTCACTTCACATAAAAGACCCATTTCTATAGCCTCACATGTTGTCACTGGTTGGAATTGAAAACATTAGAGCAAACAGACTGAACAAATCAGGGCATGATTCAAAGCTCTTATGACTAAGAATACCTCTTTAATAAGAATACCTCTTATGACTAAGAATACTTCTTTAAAAGGAACAACTTAGGGGGATAAAAGTAGAGGCCAAGTTCTAGGGAGATACAGTAATTTACTTTTCATCAAAGAGAGGAGATGCAGAATGAGAAACTTATCTGAAATATATTATTGTTGAAATCAGGCAAAATTTAAAAATAATAAACTGAAGTAAAGTTTTTATGTAATAATAAAAGCACAAAAAAACTTAGAAAGTAGGAATCTCCTAAAGAAAAAAACTGACACAATCGACGTATATATTTCAGATATTTTACACACACCTTATACATATACATGTACATAATTATAGTTTTTCTATTTAAAAAGTACAAGACATTTGCAACTTTTAATAATTTATTTTGGTCATTTATAAATGCTAGTATATAGAACTTTATCTTGTTACCTGTAATGGATGCACAGAATTTTGCTATATGGGCATGATATAATTTATTTAAACTCTTTCCTCCTGATGAATATGTGGGTAGTTCCAGTGTTTCACTACTTAAAATAGTGCTAAAAATAAGACTGTTGTAAAATATGTCCTTGCGTACTTGTGTATCAATGTGAAGTAAATTCCTTGTGATGTATGCAGATACTGTGAAATAAGCAATGAGTTTTTACATACAATTTTTAAAGACAAAATTATTATTTATTTTCCAGAAAGTGATTCATATTCACATATAAAACTAAAACTAAGAAATGAAAGGTAAATCAAACCATCAATAAACAAAAAAGGAAGAGAGTAATAAAGTATGGTAAATAGAAAACAAAATAAAATGTAAAAATAACTCAAAATATAGAAGAAATAATACAAATATAAAAATATTTCTATTAAAAGATAATATGAGCTGGGGATTTAGCTCAGTGGAACCACACCTGCCTTGCAAGCACAAGGTCCTGAGTTCAATCCCTAGCACCAAAAAAAAAAAAAAAAGATAACATGATGTATAAAATTAATACTATTGAACTGTACATTTAAAATGATATATTTTAAATTTGAATAATAAAACAGACTATCTCAAACATAAATACAAGTGCTGAATAGATACACATATACATACAAAATTGTACAACATTGACTGTAAAGAGATGAAAGACAATGTATGAAGCTCATAATGACAGATAAAGAAATCAGACAGTGATATTAGACAAAAATTATTAGGATGAATTTGCCTTTAAAAAAATCTAGGGGCAGTATGGGTAGGATGAACAGTGGGTGGGAGTATGGGTGAAATAAGATTGGGTACATGATACCACTGAAGTTGAGTGATAGTATGAATCACATGGCTTTCTTATACTACTAGTCTTCATACTTCTGTAGATATAAAAATTATAAAAACTTGAAAAGCAATAAATGACAAAGGAAGATATATTAACAAAAGCAAAGAAGTGTCATGGACAAAAAGTTTTATAAAAGTTATATAAAAAATTGATGAAATGCAGAAAGAAATAGATACATCCTCTGGAATAATGAGACTTTTATCAGCAATCGAGGATCAAGCAGAATAGAAAGAATAAGGATACTGACAAATTATATAGTTAGCAAGCTATATTCTCATTCACATATACATATATCTGCACCCAATAAACAGAAAATGTATATTCATTTTGAACTCTGAGGAACACCTCCCAAATTGGCCACGTGTTAAGATTATTTTATAAGCTCAGACTCTTATGGGACTTTTCACAATTAGGCCACATTTACATGATATTTATAACATGCTTCATTAGGTAGTCTAGGCTTTCTGAAATATACCTCAATTCATTCTCAGATAAAACAGGGAGGTTGGTATAAAAGTGAGGCTAAAGTTTAGTCATTTGTCCCAAGTTGCAAAGAATGATAAATGGCAGTCAGGACCTGAACTCAGTTCTGTTGAATGCCAGAGCCTGGTCAACTTTCCCTATGCCACACTTTCTCACAAAAATTCATTTTTTAATTTTTATTTTTTGGTACTAGGGACTGATCCCAGGGCCTTGCACATGCTAAGCAAGTGCTCTGTGACTGAGTCACAGCCCCAGCCCCTTCACAAAATTCTTGATTAAGACAATTCAAGATCACCAGAGTCTTACTTTGTTACTTCTCCAAACTTACAACTTTAAAAATTAAACACTAGATTTTGGTAGAAAATGGATGCAAAGTATTTCTGAAAGGGCTCAATTTTTATCTGAGTGTGTTCTCCTGAAACCTATTACCTATTGCCTCCTGAAACCTATTAGGAGAAAATCATTTTTCTGCTAAAGGCTTACCTGTTTTATTTATAGGTATTTTTATAAGTACTGTGTTTTTTTTTTTTTTTACATTATGCAGATGTAGAAATCCCTGGAGTTCAACTTTACTGGAGAACTTTACTATGTTTAACATAAACATGAAGATTCTTTCAGGCCACTGGCATTTCAGGCCATCAGAAGACGCTATCTCCATGGCTTGGGAAAAGGTGCATTTTCCTAAATACCCACCAGATACCCTGAGCATTGGCTTCACATGGAAAGACTGAGGGTGTTAAAGAAACACTTTAATAACTTACTATATGCAAATGAAGGTACTTTACTCACCCAATTCGTATTTTCAGCATGCCACTGAATAACTCAGGGTTATTGGAGATGATCCAGCCGATATGTATAACCAGTTCTTGCTGAATGACTGCTTCCCTCTCATCATGGGTATTACACTTATAATAGATGATGTTCTTAATCACTCTTGGAGACAAAGGATTAGAGATAACTTCTTCTTCATGCCCAAAGGCACCCAGAGTTACCTACAAGTGGCAGAATCTTATTGTAAAAATTTCCGAGCTACCAAAAGATTAAAAAAATTCAAAGCTCAGGATGACTGGCAGGCTGAAATTGCTCTATACAAGCTAGGGAATTAGGTAGAATAACTGTTCCTGCTATTTATTAAAATGGCTTTCAAAGCATAACTCTCAATGGAGTTCATGATGGTTCAGAGTCTGGCTTAAAATATAAGGGCAGATAAGGGTCTCAGTTAGGGGAGTGAAGGTAAGTCGATATATATAACTATTAAGATAAAATTATTTTGAATGACTTTATACTAGAAACTCCCCTGAGAAGCCAGAATACAGTGAATAGTTTTACTTTACTACACAGTCCACACAATCTAGTATTTGAAAAATTTACTTTTCCCTTCTTTCACCATTTCTCAGGAGGGACCTTTTGCTCTTTAACACTGTAACTTTTTCAAAGGCAGTACGAGGTCACCTGGCTCTTGTGTAGCCCTCACTTTCCCTAGTATAACACTAGGAAGATCTCTCCCCTGCAGAAGGGGATGAATGAGACTGTCACAAGCCTGGGAAAGGAAGAATCACAGAGAGAAATGGCAAAGAAAATTCAGAGCAGAAAGTCCTGGTGAAGCTGGGAAGAGAATATCTGGTCTCTCTCTCCTCTCTCCGTGGCCTCTTGCCTTCCAGAAAAGTCTGCAGCTCCCCATCTTCCTCATTATCTCTTTCCATTTCTCTTCTATGTACAGTGCACAGTTATATGAGACAGTAAAATAAAAGCATATCAAAGGGCATTTGTGTTTTCAGAGGTGAGGGAAGAGAGTAGAGCATGGGGTCTTTTGCTCCAGTTTTGTAAAGGGGTGTAATGGTTACTTCATCATATGACAGCGACATCAACCAGTTAGTCCAAGTGTATTACTTTTATTAAAGTGCCACTGTGTAAAGAAGAAAACAAACAGAATGTCCATCATTGCTTCTGGAAACGATGACTAATCAAACCACTGTTTCATGCCAGAGTGTAAGGTGACCTAAAAGTGCTTTGCACAAACAATATTACTTTAGTTCTCAGGGAGGCATTTCATGGCTGAGTACTCTATTTTGCCTCATTTTCATTTTCTGTTTTTGTAAAGGGTTAGCACACAGTCGATGAATGGACTTGGTGCACCCAGTAATGAAGTTGAACTGCTAGCCTCCTGGGCCTACCCAGCTCTGTAGAGCACTATCTCCTTGGGAGATGTGCTGGTCTGATGGGCAAAGGTCCAGTTGCAGCCTTAGGGCAGGGCAGGCTTGAAGGCTTCTGGGGTGTGAGAGCAGGGTCTCAGGCTGCAGGGTGCAAGCCCCTGCTGTACAGAATACTGATACTGTACAGAATGGACAGGATTAACCCAAACCCAGCCCTTCGCCTAGTGTCAGGTGTAGTAACTGCAAAGATCTGCAAAGCCTAAAGAATGTTCACATGCCCCAGAATTAACTTTATTTTTAGATATATTATAGGGACCTAACATTAAGGAAAAATAGCCTATTTAATTTTCTCTCATAGCTGGAATGGTTCAGGGGAAAAAAATACTACTCTGGGCTGGAGGTGAGGATTCTGGAAAGGAAAGGCCCAAAATAAGTTAAGTCCTATACTTTGGTCTCCTTTAGCTGGCAAATGGGGATGAAAAGTTTACCTTTTAATAATTTGTAGAATACAGAAAATAACATACATGAAAAGTAACTTAACTTTTCCTCAGGCATTTATTAGTATAATTATTTTTTAATTGTTAGTCAATATTACAGAAAAAAATAACCAATTTATTACTCTAACATTCCAGAAGCTGGATATCAGGATGAAATCATTTCAATCTTAATTAAGAGCACTAAAATGTCAGCCACTGGTTGATTTTATTAAAGAAGGTTAAAGTACTTCATATTACTAAAGCTTGTTATATCTCTAGGTTAGCTGTCATGAAAACACAATAAGCACATATATTCCCAAAGAAGAGAAAGCAAGCTAGCAGGTTTCATTATAATCAAAGAATGATTCAGCCAGGTAATTAGAGATTATAGAAAACAAAACAAGAATGAGCAGCCATGTCTCACTCCACACATCTACATGCAGAGGCTCCATTCAACACATATTTACCAAGTACCTACTCTAAACCAGGTCCTGTGCTGGGCGCACTGGGACATGTGCGGGACAAGACAGGCCCTGACCTCAGGTGCTCACAGCCTACCATTCAAATAAACTGGAATTATGTACAGACTGAGACATGTCATGAGCCTGTTATGGGAACCCAGAGGAGAGAGAGACTGCAGCAAATCAGAGATGGCTTTGTGACAAGAAGATGACAGAGTCAGCCTTGGTGGGTAGAGAAGAGTTGGGGGAAGAGATGGCCTGGCGAGTGAATAATCTAGAGGGCAGTACTGGCTATGCAGACTCTGGTTCTGCCTGGACACCAGTGTGTTCTAAGGCGCAGGAGGAACTCAGGTGAAGTAGAAGAGGAAATGTGTCCTGCACTACTCACCTGTCTTTGCTCTGCCTATCCTATACCTACCTGCTATACTTCAGTAGGTGGTATTTCATTTTCTATATCTGCACCTGCAGCGCTCTCAAGTTAACAGAGTCAAAAGGTACAGCTCTTAAGGTGCAGCAGGAAAAGAGGATGGCCCACTTGGTAAAAGTGTAGTTTTGAGACTATGTATCTGTTTTGCTTGAGAAAGGAGACTTGTGGGGAAATGCCTGAGCCATTGTGAACCTGTTTATAAGAGGTCTATGACACTAAGGTGTGCCAGATTTAAAATTAAGTACTCAACCCAGAAACCTTCACAACTGTGACCAAATGAGTGTCTGAAAAGCAGATACTTACCTGTTTGCCCTGCACTAAAACATTAGTAATGGATGGGGCCAGGCTGTCCACTACTTTACTTAAAAGACTTGCTGCATGGCGTACAACCGACCTGGGGGCAAAGAAGAGAGTAGGCCAGATGTTCACAAACCTAAAAGATGATGCATGAATGGGGCCGATTATAGAACCTTAAAAACATACATGTTTGGGTCCTCATGTGATTATTTGGAGGAAACACTAAGTGCAAGACATTGGACCTCATAGTTGAAATTTTTCCAGCTGATAGGACCATTCAGAAGTAGGAAGGGATAGTGCCTCACTCTTACCTCTGTATCACAGGTACTGTTGATGCTATTATCAATTTTAAAGGGAAGAAAAGGGAGCCTATTTCTCTGACTGAGGTAGGGAAGGAGTGCACAGGGAAGAATTAAAAGAATGTTCCAATTTGCATTAGGAAATTCATTATTAAGTCTGTCACTGGTTGATGTGACCTATTCTTACAACCACTTTAAATCATGTTTCTTTTAGTACCTAGATAACCAAATCCCTGGATTAGAGGACCCAGAACTGAATTTTAGAAAGTGCTATAATAAAATAACAGCACTTTCTTTCCTTAATAAAGCTAGAACGTTGGGGAAAGGAATTCACACTGCTATTTTTACATTCCTGAAAAAGTCTTAGAATATAGGGAGAACAGATTTTTTTTTTTTTTTTTACAGGGAGCACATGAAATACACAGGACATTTTTTCCTTCAGAAGTAAAAATTCATGTTGGACATTTAGATGGAAAGAATAAAATAAAAATGTAGTTTTGAAACTAGTTGCTATTTTGAAAAATATATTTCAGGATATACACGGAAACTGACCTCTAAAAAGCATTTATACTTAATTTCAACAAAAATAGACAACTAGAAAATGAAGCTAATAACTAATAAAGTTAGTGAAACAAAGACTTCCTACTTTTAAAAAAGCTTTCACCCACACACTATAAGACTGAAAGACATACTTAATCCTCAGAGTGCAAGTAAGCCCACACATTTCAAGCAGCTTGGATTTCCAAATTCTGAGCATGTTACCTGTTTCCCATGTACCAGAAAAGTAGTAATGTGTGGGGCTATAGAGGAAGAAAATTTCTGGGTAAATGCAGCCCCGTAGCGTACTGCCAACCTGGGTGTGTCAGTGGAAAGCCATAAAAGGGAAAAAAGAACAAATAAAACTTCCAGGAGTTTGTTCTTTTAAACAAAACAGCATTCTAAATATTTGGTAGGTAATGATTTATCTAAGATAGAAATATAATACAAAAAGCAATAAGACTGGAGACCACATTTGAAACTGGCTGGCTAAAAAGCAATATGTATCGGTTGAATTGCCTGCCTGACTGCACTGAGAATTTACAGTGAAAATTTTAAAAACTACAGGATTATTCCATTATTTCTTCTGGGTAGGAATAGTAAGTTTACTATTAAATAGAGGTGACAAATTATTGTTTTATCTAGTCCTCTGATTTTGGAGATTAGAAACTGGAGGCTCATTGAAATTAAGGGAGTTTCTTATGACATTGCCTGACTTTTCAAAAAAAATTAGATATTAACTAGCCATTTGAAAAAATGTACATGTGTGTGTTACTTTAGATTCTCCTAATAAAATTTCTTGAGTTACATCAAAACGCAGAGGGCCATGCATTTAGGCATACCTTCCTCATTGTGAATTTAAACAATTTCATTTAAATTTGCATATATACATATTTATTATTCTTTTAATCCCTGGGAAGAGAATTTTTATGTAGAAAAAATGGTTATTTTTCATGAAGCAGTTATAATCACTGGAATTCATCCAACTTAAATGAGAGAATCACCTTTTAAGTACAGTATTTTGCTTATCATAAAATGAGCCATTGTCAATTCTCTCTTGTTAAGGCCTTCTATGATAACAGAACAGGTTTTCTAAATACAAAATAGAACCTGAAGCACTTGTTGGGACAGAGGAGGCAGAGCAGGAATAACTAGGAATCATTCCCATAAATACTCTCCTGGTTAATTTCCTGTGGAAGTCTTTATTCCTAGTTTTTTTTTTAGTATCTTGGCACAGCCATGATACAGCAGAATGTAGACACATCCTAAGAAAGTAGACAGTCTCGGTGCCATAAGCTTGGAGTTTAAAAGTAAAAATTAGGATGAGTAATCATCTTTAAGACTGGTCCACTGTATTTAGGCTACTGAATATGACAACACAAAAATAAAAGATAATGACAAGGACACTAATACAAACCAAAGCTTTTTGCTGCCAGCTCTTCTATAGACTCTCTCAATGTGATCAGAAACGGTACCTAGACATTGGATAATAGAGTCTTTGTTGAAGAAAGCTTTTACTTAAATGCATAACATTTATTCCCCTTTAAAAAATCACTTATGAATTTTCATTTTGTTCCTCTAGAGTCGACACCCTCATCATTTAAGGTTTTGAACTATCTGATAATTTTAATATGTAGCCCAAATAAGTAGAATGTGAATGTCCCTAGCATTTGTTACTATTTAGTCTGAGTATATAATCTTGGTATTTTACTTCTTGAAATATAATATAAACTTTAAACAAATGCAAATGTTATTTTAATTTACTGTAGAAAATAGAAAAATAAACAGTAAATTGAACAAATACTGTAAACTCTGAATATAATGACGATTTATTTGTTCAATGAAAGTTTACTGAGGCCCTATTATATGTATGGGGCTATTATCATTCCAATATACTCTAGAGTTCAAAACACACCACTAAGCTATCCTCCTTTGGCTGCAACTTACAATGTGGTCTGGCCTCAGAACTGGTTTTGACAGAACATGAACAATGTAACAGGAAACCGCACCAAAAAAGAAATACAGGTAAAGAACAAGATCTTTGAAGTTTTGTTTTGACCTTATTTTTATAGTCTTATAATGAATTAGATAAAAGTTATATTAAGATTCTGTAGATGCTTGTGATTTTCAATTTATCATATGGCTTTACAGATTTAAAATATTTAAAGCCTTTCAAAATCTAAGTAAAAGATGAATATTACTCTCATTTATAAAAATACTTCCCTCAGTATTTTCATGAACTATTTTATATAAATTTCATTTTATTTAAAAGCATTACTATAATCATTCCAAATTCCAAGTTTCTAATGAAATGTTTAAGTTTTAAAAAGTCTACTTTTTTTGGTCTTAGCTAAAGTTCAAATGTCAATGACTGTTCCAAATAAAATTAAGATGCTGCTTATGCCAGGTTCCGTGGCACACACCTATAATTCTAGCATTCCGGGAGGCTGAGGCAGGAGGATCACAAGCGTGAGCCCAACTTAGTGAGGCTCTGTCTCAAGATAAACAATAAAAAATGATGGAGGATATAGATCACTGGAAAGACCCTGGATTCAATACCCAGTACCTCAAAAAACGTTGTTTATATTATAGTTTTGACACTAATTTTCTAATTAGAGAATGACTTTGTTTGAAATCTTAACAATATTAAAGAAGTTTATCTCAGTTACAACAATACAAAAACTAAGCACACTTCATTTGAGTAAATAATTATGGTTATTTCATTGCTAGAACTACAAATATTGTTAATGTACTGCTATTTAGGACACTAACCCAATTTCTGCTTCTAACCCAATCAACATGCGCCTCGCCTCTTAACAGAGTATATTCAAATGAGCTCAAAAATTTTGAGTAGCTAGACATTAAGTACTTGAAACATATTCTATATTATTCTGTACTATAAAATGCCAGAAGCAGACTATGATGTAGAACTCAAGGATTCTTCACAGTTGTGACCCAACATATAGTATGGATATCGGGGATAATTGGGTTTCATTTTTAATGCAGAGTGGACATAGACATGATTAGACATGATTTATTTTTATTAACTATCTTCAGTGCACAATTCTATTAAATGCCATGTTCCATTCCAAATGGCTGCTGCAGACCATGAAGGAGCTAATTTTTACAGACATAACTATTCAATATTATTCTTGAAAAAAATACAGGAAATAAAACTGGAAACAGAAACTGTCAATAAACAACTATGGAGTCATTAGAGGTTAACAGTCACAGGCAGAATCCAGGCTCCAACACTGTTCAAACAATCAGAGAAACAAGTAAGCATCACTTCATGAAAACTATTTAGGAATTCATGTGTCAGCCTATTCCACACTCCAGGGTATGAATGAATGTTCTCCATTTAAAAGAAAAAAAGGTTTACTGGAGGAGGAAATAACTTCTAACATCTTAGGGGATATCTTTTATGCATATCTGAAACATGTTCAAGAAGAAAGAAGTTCTGTTATTTAAAATGTTCTCCTACATATGTTCTCTTACCTTCCATTGTGATGAAGTTGGGGCCTTCTCTTTTGAGCAGTATGCCCAGCAGGACGGCTTGGCCAGCCAGACAACTGCAGTCCTAAAAACATAAATGAACATCAGGAACTGGAATACAATGAATACAAGAGTTACCATAAGGGATAACTAATCACAAAACTACATGATACAAAGAGAAAATATTCTGTTATGAAATTGAGGAAAGATAAAATATCACTGATATAACAAGCATAAGATGACATTACACAACTATTTATCTTAGATAGAGTGGAAAGAGAGAGTAGACAAGCTGGTTTCCTGGGGTAGCAAGATTTAATCAAATTTTCCAGGAAACAAAATCAGCAATGAACAGAAAACACGTTGTCTACAAGTACTGATACTGATTCTGCCATTCTCGGAGACCTGGCAAGTCATTCAAACTGTTCCTTCTTCACCCTACTTATTGGTGTAAGTGGGAGACCATGTTGCTATTTACCTATCATGATGAGATGCATGACGTGAGGGGAGATATGCAGAGTGCTTATTATGTTTAGGTCACTGTGCTAATGTGCTTTAAGGCTGTTATATCACATTCACCCTTATGTAGATTTATATAATATAAATAATAAGGACTGATGATGTCTAGAAGGATATGTATCTAGTCTACATGCTCAAATTTGTATGGTCCAAATAAGATGGCACAGTGCTAACAGTTCCACCAGTAGAATTTCATCTTTAAAAAAAATATGAATAAACTCAAGAAAGATAAAATACTAGGTTGCTAATATATACATGTAGTCAGACTATTGCTTTCCTCAGTGATAGGAAAGACTTGGAAATGGAAATGGAAGAGAAAAGAGGACTGAAAGAAAATCATGAGAACCCAAAGTCAACTATCACTGACATCTTTAATGACTCATACAATATTCTCATTTCTAAAATAATCCCATTCATCTGTGCTCCTTAAGGCATCCATGCTAACTTTAGGTCAAAGGAACAACCTCCCCTGACTGCCCCAAGTATAGAAGAGCCATATGTTTCATCCTCCTCTGAGAGGAGACACAGCCTAACTGGCAGCACCTACTCTGGCAACCTCCCTATGGCCTTTTGGGAACTGCATCATCCTTACATTCAGTTTCTGAAGAATTTCGTGGGTGGATTTGTTTTTCCACTCAGCAATGGTGATGACTGGTAGCTGATTCAGTTCAGGAGCATCAAGGGTGCTTCTTTGTCGTTTGACTTTTGAATGTTTGGGAAATTCTAGTTCCTCAAAACTCTTAAATTCTGGAAGCCTGGAAATGAAGAGGAAGTGTTTTAGACTTCTGTTTTTCAAGTGTAATCACAAGAAGTGAGAAACTAAATAACTGAAAGGTACTTACTCTTCTGTGTCACTGATTCGTAGGAAGTCAAGTTGTTCTACCACAGCTCCTGATATTAGTGTCTGAAATGTGATAAGAAAAGATTCTAAACTCTTAAATTCATCAATCCATACTCTTAGAGTTTGTGCACACTTTTAATACTACAAAATAATACATACATCACAAGTAACAAGTTCATGAATCATAATCAATAGAAAAGTCAACATGTGGGCTAGGGATTTAGCTCAGTGGTTCTGCCGCCTGCCTTGCAAGTGCAAGGTCCCGAATTCGATCCCCGTTACCAATAAATAAATAAATAAATAAATAAATAAATAAATAAATAAATAAATAAAATGTTGCCGGGGATTTAGCTCAGTGGTTCTGCTGCCTGCCTCGAAAGCGCAAGGTCCCGAGTTCGATCCCCGGTGCCCCCCCCCAAAAGAAAAGTCAACATGAGATGAATTCTGTTCTTAGAACTATTGGTATTTATAAGTTAGAATTAAAATAATTCAGTACACATTAAAATAAAAAATACTAAAATATTCAAATTGTTTTGTGTAAAGACAATGTGAAGTTACACTTGGGTTCTGTTCACGCTATAATAGATTTCAGTGCTATCCAATGACAAGGTATGTCAAGCTTCCATTTTCCAGGATTGTGAAGGTACTGATTATTTAATCCAGCGTTTCTTTTCACTGTGGCATATGGAAATATGCATTTGGTCATTTTATTTTCCATTAGTTCCTCATGGTATATTGGGCACATTAAATGAGTCTAAATGCAAACCCAGTTTTTGTTTGTCAGTGGTTCATGGAGAATAGTACAAATGACTGATAACCTACAGTTATTTTTAGCATTGTTTCTCATTTCTAATTATCTGATAAACGATCAGAGAAAATTGAGAAATATATTGTGGAAATAAACAAGCTATAAATTATTTTTAAAAACCAGACAATTGGGCTGTGGATTTAGCTCAGTGGTTCCGCCGCTTGCCTTACAAGCGCAAGGTCCCAAGTTCGATCCCTGGTACCAAAAAAAAAAAAATCACACAATTTGTCAATTAAAAGTATCTTATGTGTTCTCTACTTTCTTACTGTGCATTTCAAATGTGAAGAAACATGAAATAGAAAATGTTGTTTTTTTGGTACCGGGGATCGAACTCAGGTCCTTGCGCTTGTGCAACAGGCGGCGAAACCACTGAGCTAAATCCCCAGCCCGAGAATGTTGTTTTTGTTCACAAACTATCCACAGTTGTGCTGCATTCTCTTCTAGTGGAAAGTCATAAAGTAGCTCATCAATAAATATTTGCTTATAGATGGCAGGATGGACATATTACCAGTAACCATCCTAAAGCCTCCTCACAGAGTTATAGTTTGAGTTGAGTGAGGCCAAACACGCCTTCCACACTCAAACTCACTGCCTCCATCAAGTCACTTGGGCTGTGAGCTCCCTGACAACAGATTCTGCTCCTGCGGAGAGGTCAGTGCTGACCATAATCAGTTTGCTGAATGATATTTCCTAGCATGTAGGCTAATGGTTCTACATCTTGCTCTTTAGTAAACTAATTTGTCACACAAATATTTACAAACACCTACCATATGCCAGGCACTATGGTGGGTACTGAAAATATAGCATGAGCAAAATATGTAAAATCTTTGCTCCGTTGAAACTGACCTGATAGGTATGTGTGAAGGGTAGACAATAAACAAACTATATACATATCAGATGATGTTAAGTACAAAATAACAAATACATACTAAGTGGAAATGAGAACAGTAGGGGAAGAGAAGTGTCAGGGCAGAGGAGCAGGAGGAGTATGTTAGCTATTTTATATAGGTGATCAGAGAAGACTACTCTGATAAGGTGACAGAAACTTAAGGAAGAACAGCAGTCAGTGCTACGAAAATGAAGGAAGAGGTACACAGGGCTGAGGAAATATAACCTGAGGCAAGAGCATGCTTAGTATGTAAGAAGCAGTAGGGATAGGCGTGTGGTTGAAATACAGTACATGGGTGAGATAACAGGAGACAAGGTCCAGTCCATGGATAAAACACAGTCCTCTGAAGGACTGTGGTTTCCACTTTGTATAAGGAAATCACTAGAGGCTTCTGCTATGTGACATAATCTAACTGCCTCCTTCCAGGTAGAGTATGAAGAAGCTACATGTCTTTCAATAGGAATTTAGGAGATGACTACAAAAGTCTTGGTAAGAGATGACGGTAATTTGGATCATGATGTTAGTGCTAAATGTAATAGGCAGTGGTTAAGTCTAGATAGAATCTGAGGGGAGAGACAACAGGATTCAATAATAGATTAAAAGAGTTAATTCTCAAAGCTGTAGCTAATACTGAAAACATAAAAAATGATTTTATTTAATATTTCCCATTTTTTATTAGCTTACTCATCCTTATACTGTAATTCTTTTTTTTTTTTTTTTTTGTACCAGAGATCGAACTCAGGTCCTTGCACTTGTGGAGCAGGTGGCAAAACCACTGAGCTAAATCCCTGGCCCTCTTATACTGTAATTCTGTCCCTAAAGTAAATGTTTAGTCTAAACAAGTGCCAAATTCCACTAATAGTCTCAATGGTTTTTGATTAAAAAAAAATTCAGTTGGTTGTAGAGGCTCCTAATTTAGTTTTGTAAAAAGCATAATTAATGTTCTAGGCATTAATACCAGAGTTCTAATGATAATTATATAACTTAATGTTGCGTGCTTATGTCAAATGAAATGTAATATTCAAAAGGTATTCAATTGCTCTAATATATTCAATTATATCCCACCCGGTCTTTCCCAGCTCAATATCCTACCTAGGTTTTTCTCCTTCCTGTCACTGTCTACCTAGCTTTGTTTTTTGTTGGACTCCCCAACTAGAATAAGTCCTATGAGGTCAGGAACCTTGTATATCTTATTCAACTATAATCTCATGGGCTGGGGATTTAGCTCAGTGTTTCCACTGCCTGCCTTGCAAGCACAAGGTCCCGAGTTCCATCCCCAGTGCCAAAAATAAATAAATACAACTATAATCTCAGTACCAAGAGTGGGAGATCAATAAATATTTTCTGAATCAATGAACCGATATTTACATATTTCTCCCAGAAGAATAGTGAGCTGAGATGGGAATATAGAGATGAGTAAAACTTGGCCTGAGAGTTTACAAAACATAAAGCAACAGACAAAGGACACTAGTTCCATAAAATAAAGTTAGGAGTTATACTAAAGGCTCAAGCAAAGTGCCAAAGACGCATACAAGAAGGTAAAATTAATTCAAATTCCAGAGGTTTCCCTAAAGAAGAGAACTGACCTAAGTCATAAAATTAAGGTATAATTTAGAAGACAAAAAGAAAAAGAAAAATGTGACTGCAATACAATAAGCAACACGATGGGGCAAAGTTTCAGTTACATTCAGAGATTTTGAATGTACCCAGCATTTGGGTGAGGAGAATTTTCCAGCATTTGAGGAGTGGAAAATGTGGTTAGGAATATGCATGGAGAAATGTTCTGGTAACAAAGTTGGGGAGGGAGGCTGAGTCCAGTGATGACAGAAACTGCAGATCATACACTAAGGAAATTTGAAAGGCTTGAAATAAAATTCAAGAGAAGCACAAAGTTGTCACTTTTACTTATATTACAGAGAAGATGATGGAGAGGCTAGAAAGAATGTGGGGATGTTTAATTGGTAGAGTCCAAGTTTTGCATGATGAAAAGAGTTCTAGAGATTGGTGGCCAACAATGCAAATGCACATAAAAATGCTTTAGAAGGTAAATTTTATGTTATGTATGTTTACCATAATTTTTAAAAGATGTAAAAGTACAAATTTACATTCACAAAATCTTTCAAAATATTGCTGACTTGGATGACTAATCACTGTAATCCTAAAATAGAGTGGTTAGTCATGTGAGATTTCATGATATTTTGGTCAATAACAGCATAGATGAGAGTGGTCTCATAAGATTATAATACAATTGAAAAATTCCTATCGTGTGCTGATGTTGTACAAGCTGTAATGTATAGTATATTAGCCATGTTTGTCGTGATGGTGGTGTAAACAAATAAATGTACTACTGGTTAATGTATTTACTTTGCTATACCTCTCATCAGTATTTTATTGTATTCCTTCTACTTATCAAACTAAAATGTCTACAATGAAAGAGTATGCTATGTTCTGTTGGCAACAGCCTCCTACGTCTTGCAATTACTCTGTCTTTTGATTGCATCAACAGACCATGTCCAGTAATCTAAGCTATCTATCTAGGTTTGTGTAAGGACACGTTGATGTTTGTATAATGACAAAATTGCCTCAAATGCAATTGTGAGAATGTATTCTTATCATTAAGGATATTTAAAATTTGGGGGTAGCAGAACTAGGAATGGAGCCCAGAGGTACTCTACCACTAAGCTACCTCCCTCCCTTTTTATTTTGAGACAGAGTCTCACTAAGTTGCCCAGGCTGGCGTCAAACTTGCAATCTTCCTGCCTCTTAGCCTTCTGAGTAGCTGGGATTACTGCTATGCACTACCAGGCCCAGCTAACATTTTGTTTTTGATAAAATACTTTTAATTAAAGAAAAAAAGAGAAGGCAAAAATAAAAACAAAGATGCTATGCCCCCATTTATAGTTTTTTAAAATGGAAAACACTTTCAATCATGAAAAACAAAACTACTGATTCGTCTCTAACTTTTAAAGCACAACTAAAAATAGAAAAATGAGATCACAATAGGAAGTGGACATCAAATTCTGCTACTTAAAGTACAGTGATGAAAGTCCAGGTGCTTGAGTATAAAAAACACTAAGCCAAGAATGAGAAGTCATGAGTTTTGCCCCCTCCTCTGTAATGATTATCTTAAAGAACTTCAGTTTGTTATTTGTAAATGAGGCACTTGGATGAAATATCTCAAGGTCTTGACCAACTTCAGCCTTCTGTACAAGGATATATAAGTGAAAATGTTCCCAATTTGAAATGATGGAGAAAAGGATCTCTTTCCAACTTTAAAACCTTATGCTGTACTTCACATTAAAAGAAAAATCGAAATAGGAAATCTTCAATTCATTGCTTTAAAAAAAATTACCACCTTTTGCACTTTTAAATTTGTCTATGAGTCTTCAAATGAAATAGAAATGCTTGCAAACATGGACGAATACTCAACTTTAAAGCAATGTAAAATATTTTAAAGTTAAATGTAGCCCAGAAATGAGAATTTGCCAAAGAATTTTTTAAATGTCAAAACTGACAATTATTGTATGTTGACAATGAAAGCCAGAAAATATTTTGATTTCTTTTAACAATTATAATGAAATTTTTTACAACTTTGCTTTTTACATTAAATAAACTAATACACCTGAAATGTATTTTTCTGTGATATCAGGTGATGCTCTAACTTGATGATCACCAAAGTATTTGTTAAATAAACTATAAAACCATCAGCTATGTTTAAGTTCTTGTGTATACAGTGAGGCTTGTTACTAAGTTACCTATACCATGTCATCATATATAGTAAGCAAGTACCACACTGTTCGGGTTCTCAATTTTAGTGATTGAAGTTTTCATTTAGAACTTCTATTTTATTCCTTTTTTATAGTTTTAAAGTTCTTAATAAAAATTCTCCAAATTGTTATGTAATTTTTAAAATATACTGGTCATAGTTATTTTAAAATCTGTCTCTGAAAATACCAATACCTAGACCAAATGTAGGTCTATTTCTGTTGTGTTTCTTCTTCGCTCTTTGTTTCATCACCTCTCCTAATTTTCCAGGTAGTTTTTAAATGAAAGAGAGACACTGTACATGAATCATTGTGGAAACACTTTCAGGGTTTGGATGATATTATTTTCTACCTTTGTGAGGCTGAATTCTCTTTTAAAGCCTTCCAGGTTTTCCCTAAACACCTACAGATAAGCAATATCTGCTTCCATTCCTCTAATTTTGGGGAAACAAGTGGCTTTTTCTCTGGTTAAAGATACTGTACTGAATAGTAAAAGGCACAGTAGAGAGCAGGAACTGCAAGGATCAAAGGTGAAAGTTCGGATATTTCACAGTGGGACCCCTGGGTCCCTTCTCACAACCAATCTCACAACATGGAGGCAAAGTGTACATTCTTTATTTATAAAATCAGATGTTTATTTTCTGGAAAACTGAAGAGCCTCAGAGAAGCTCCAGATCCAGATCCAGCCTCAGAGAAGCTCTAGTATCTCTAGACACTGGCACTGAAAACTTCCCTCAAAGAGCCTTTGCTATTGCACCATTTTATAAGAAAATTCATCAAGGCATGAATCTTTTTCCTCAATATAGTTTCCTATAAACGTTTTACTTCTTTAATTTTTATTTTATCTTATTTTTTGGTACGGGGATGGAGCTCGGGACCTTGAACTTGTAAGGCAGGTAGTGCAACCACTAAGCTAAATCCCCGGCTCTACTTCTTTACTTTTAAAAATGATGGGCTAGCTAAATACCACTAGATATCTGCCAAATACCTTCAATATGAAAGACAGAGAAAAAGAAATCTGAAAGAGAGAGGTAAATTTTTTTTAAAAGCTTCTAACTAATATCCTCAAAAAAAATAATACAAAGTATAATACATACAAAACAAAAGCAGGTTACAATGAAAAATGGAATTTTAAAGCATGGTCACCAAAACTCAATAGAAAAGCTATAAGATAAAAATCAAAGAAATTTCCTAGGAAGATTTACAAAAAGATAGAGCAACAAAAAATATGGGGAATATTATTGTTTAGATAAAAATCAATCAGGTATACAGAATACAACCACCAGTCAATGGGTATATAAACATGAAATTTATAACACTACCTATGTACGTCCTTCTTTGTCAATTTTCCTTCTTACCCAATATTGAATTCCTAATATAAAGACCCTATACAATAATCACAATTATTTTACAGGAAATGAGACATGAGAGTCCATATGGAATACAATTTGAGTAAAGATCATAAAAGAAGTGTCATTTTTAGTCCAGGACATTTTGGAGAGTTAGCCTTTAAAGTATGCTAAAACTTCAAAGCCCAAAGAGCTTGAAAGAAAGGAGGATAACCAGGCATAGGAAATCGTGGGAGCAGAGAGGCAGAACTCCACGCAGTCCAAGATACAGTAATTAATCTATATGGCTGAAGTACAAAAGCTGCTGAGAAGGGCAGAGCAGCTGTCTTGGCTAATAGAGAACCAAAGCAGGTTCCTAGAAGAAAACACTGATATTTGAATGGAAGGAGGGCTATCTCCTGAGTGAGTGTTACAGTGGAGTAAGGAAAAGAGCACTAGACCAGAAGTCACCCAACTTGTCCCTAACAGCCTAGATTATACAGCAGATCACTTCATTAACACATATGGACCCAAGCTCTTCAAATGCAAATTTGAATTTAAAGATGAGCTACTAAAGTCTAAAATTCTGTATAAGACACATTAGTGCAATCAGATAATTGATATGGTGACAACAGGCATAGGAAGATAAGCACAGAATAAAGCTGTGAGTCAAAACTAGAACAAATAGTAAGAAATATAGTTGTATTGCAGATTAACTGTTCTGAAAACAGAAACATTGAAATTCAACAGGACTACCTGTAGACGATCAACATGAACTTTGACTCCTCCAATTATTCCTTTTTTAAAGGCTGCCAGCATATCTAATATAGGGTTGAACCGGCTACCTCTGAAAAATGAAATAATTAATAAAATGAGCATATTAGTCATAGGGAAATTAATAACTGAATATTATCTTTTGTATATGTAAAGTACTATGCCACCTGCTAAGACAGATACAAAAATACAAGGAAACCTTGCTTCTAAAGGGTTCACAGTGTTAACAGCCATGAGGTATACACACCTTACTTATTTCATCAACCTACCTTATATTGTCTTCCCGGATGAGTACAAGAAAAAGTGGACGTCCATGCATTTTCCAATATTGTTTAATGAACTGTAGTGCATTCTATCAAAACATAAGAGGCAAGGTGTAATGGCATAATATCTGAGCAGATATGGATCCTTAACCATGAGAAGCAGAGAGTCAATAATACTTACGTATTAATAGAGTGCACAATCAAAACCTGGATAAATTAGAGTACTTAGAAGTATGGAAACCATTTTAATTCAAACATTGCTTTTAAAAGTAATCACATCACCCATGTTTTAAGGCTCTCTTGCTGAGAATGTCTGTGCACTCTCTTGCACTTGCTTATATGTGTACACTTTTTCTTTCTTTGCCTAAAAAATAAAGTTCAAGAAGGTGCCAGGGAGAAAAAAGTCATCTCAGTGTTGTTATCCAGAAGAATAATTTCCACTCTGTATTACTGTGGATTTATATCACAGCAGGTAGTAGAAACTGAACAGAATCTATTCTATTCAAACCATTAGCAATGGGGAGAGAATTATTTGACTAAATAATCTATCTTGTCACCTACCCACCACCAACCTACCTATCTAGTCATCATATTAAAGATCTACATAACCCCTCATTAAGTACCAGGCACTATTCTGAATGCTTTACATATACTAATTAATTTAATCCTCAGAACAGCACTATTAATAATCAGTTTTACAGAAGAAAAAACAGGCACCGAAGAGTTAAATAAATTGCCCAAGAACAGCTGGTAAGTGACAGAGCCAAGATTTTTAAAAATGCGGTCTGGCTTCAGATTTCATGCTCTGGACCATGAGGCTAAGATTCTCTACTCTGCAAGTAAAAAGGGGGACTGGAGCCGATTTTAACTCACAGAGTTATGAGGCGAGGTCTTACTGAGCATACTGCACAAGAAAATTATTTTGCTAATTTGACTTTTGTTAAAAAAGAAATAAATGATTACTGTCATTTTAATAGTTTTAAAATAGTTCTCCTGCTTTTATAAACTATACATTTTAATTTGATTTGTAGAAAGGTAACACAGCAATCTCATTACTTTATGGAAGACTGATTCTATCTAATATTCTAATGCTGCAAGTAATCTAAACTCTTTCACCAAAGGTGGTGTTTTATTTTCAAATTTTACACTGTGTTAACTCATTGTAATAGACACCCAGAAGCACTCAATTAAAAAATATATGATAAAATCAGTGGAAAAAAAATTATCCCATTTCAACCAAGAGGTATTATGAAGCTACCTTTATGTCATCTATCAGCAGTAAAACATCTTGAGACATGTAGAAATCACTTAAGTCGAAAATGATAGGGTAACAAACCACAGTCTTTCCTAGAATGCGATAAATCTGTAAAGAAAATAAAAACTAAATACAACATATACTAAAGATTCAGTACCATAAATCTCAACAAAAATTAAAACTGATGCTTAAATTTGAGTGAGAAAATAGCTTATAAAATTCATACAATATTAATTATAAAGTTTCTTGATTCAATTAGTATGCTAATAAAGTAGATCACCCCTAATTATATCTCCCCCAACAGGATGGGAAAAGCCTATGTTTTGTTTTGGTTTTTTTATTTACTTTTTTACTAAATTCTTTTATTGATACATTGTAGGTATACAACACAATTACATTTCTCATTGGGAATTGTACCTTTACATAATGCATCTTGGTTCTTATTTTTTCCCCATTCCTAGCCCTCCCTTCACGCCCTCCACCCTTCCCTATTTACAAAGACTTTATTTCCATTTTTTTCATTTCTCAGCATTTTTCCTTTCCCTTCTTTCCTTTCCCCTGCCCCTCCCACTACCCCTACCCCTTTGGACCTTTTCTTCCTATTTTACATTATCGATTATTCGTTCTAATCATTGGTACATTTTAGGTATACAATATAATGACATTCATCATTGGAAATTTGCACCTTTACATAGTCTCTCTTGGTTCTTATTTTTCACCCTTGCCCAGCCCTCCCTTCAACCCCTCCATTCCTCCCTATTTACAAAGATTTTATTCCTATTTTTCCATTTTCTCATATTAATCCCATTCCCTTCTATCCTTTCCCCTAGCTCTCTCACTTCCTTCTCCTGGGAAAAGCCTATGTTTGAGTAAATATTATAAATAAGGTATTTTACAAAGGTTAGAAATAACATAGCAGCAAGATGATGATTTACTCTCAGAAAGCTTCTGTGATATAATGTAAAATAAGATTTACTTGCAGAAAATGATAATTCAGATTATTAGCCTAAGTATAAATGGCATATCATTTTACTAGGAAGTATTATAATAAAAATGTTACTCAATGAGGAAATTTTCTGAGCACCTTTGATGTACCGAGGCAGCCAATGGGCCTATCTGGCCTTCCAGAGAGTCCTAACTTTTCATTGATACCCAAGTGGAAATAAGCCTGTAAGACACAAGGTTGTAAATCAGGTAAGAATCCCATGCTTTTCTCTTTTTCTTTTCTGTTCTTTTCTTTCTCTCTCTTTTTTCGGTATCGGGGATCGAACTCAGGACCTTGTGCTTGTGAGGCAGGCACAAGCACCTCTGAGCTAAATCCCTGGCCCTCTTTTCTTTCTTTTCCCTCCCTCCCTCCTCTCTTGTCTCTCTCCTCTCTCTTCCTTCCTTCTTTCTTTCCTTCCTTCCTTCCTTCCCTCTTTTCCTTTCCTCTCTCTCCCTCCCTTTCTCTCGCTCTTTCCTCTTCTTTCCTTCCTTCCTTCCTTCTTTCTTTCTTTCCCATTTTCTTTTCCCTGACTATTGGCTTGTAAATTTATGCTCTTTCTGGAGAAAAACAGATCAGGAGAACCCCATCCAAGGACTACCAGCTAGCTGCAGATATCATCTTAGACTTGGGGTTACTGAGCTTTTGAGAGCAAAACACTTGTCATAAATGTACAACATGCATGGTTTTGATTCAAAAAAAGACTCAAAAGAGACAAATACTTCCTGTGTCACTAAAAAAATCTGGCTACATAAAAAAAAAGGCCATTAGTCTTCTACTAGGTTTTCACATTCAAGTATTTCCTAACAAAATGGAATCATTTCTACTGATATTTCTGATTATATGAGTTTCATAAACAAAAGTGTATGGTCTTGTTTTTTCTCACAATATCTTATGTAACAATTTCACTTTGGTATTTGTTTAAAGGGTATAATTTATTGTGCAATCCCAGGTAACACCAAAAGTATATATAAGGTCATAGATTTTTAAAAGTACATAAATATATATTCACCTTATACACATACATCAATATATGCATATGTACATACATGGGTTCAAATAATACATAATCTGTATTGTGACCCATTTTTTAAATTTAACATCGTGATGTTACATTTTCAAGATGTTAAAATGAATCTATGCATTTTCTATACTGAATATTTCAATGTTGAAATATACTAATGGGAAAAATTCTGTAGAAGTATTAGAAAACAGGGAAACATGCCACAGTGAAGCAGACAGCCTTATAAATCTTGGAATTAGGAGTTAATCAATTTCAGAGCTGAGCACTTAATCCAACCTAGAAGTCTCCTTATCCTAATTAAAGCCATTTTCAGACAAAGATAGCTCCCAATTTTTGTTATCTTAAAAATAATTCAATAACATCTTTGGACAGTGTACAATTATATCCCAGAATAATCTCCTAGACTTCCTTGATCAAGCAGACCGTATCTTCTTTGAAACATAATGCCTGGTTGTACAAATTGACACTGGCATTTACCAATGCACAGGCCTCTTTGTCACTATCTTGGGTCAAAATTATATTTCATTTTACTTTTAAAAAACTGCTGTGTTCAAATATTTGTGGTTGAGCATTTTCCAATACAGTAAGTGGCTATTTGGATGTTCTATAGTTTTTTTTATTTGTTCCTTTTCTACTGAGTATCTGTCATTCTTTATGATTTGTATGAGATCTTGAGAATATTACTCTTTGAATCAAATATTTTACTCAGTTTGCACTTCTTCAATGTTATTATGAAAAGGGAGAATGACTGCATGATAGGTCAAACATTTCAGAATGTGGTATTTCAACCTAAACCTTTTTTCTACTAAGAAATTTTATAAGCCCCTTTGATGTAGTAGGTTTTTTATGTTACATTTAGTTAAATTTTTCAATTATTTTCTTATTGCTTCTTGGCACTGCTGTCATTCTAAGAATGGACTTTCCCTCCCACTAGCTATAAAAATATTCTGTTTCTCTTCGAGTGATTTTACACTTAAACCATCTTAAAATATTTAGATTTTTAAGCTGTTTGGAATTTGATGAGAGGTAAAACTCTAAATTTTCCTAAATGGAAAATCAAACCATTTCTATATAATCTCTTGATTGTGATTTGAACTGATTTTAAATAACAGCTTCATAATATACAAAATTAATGTGCTACCAGAGTTCTCTGTTCATTCTGCTGTGTCAGAGTTAGCTCTGTCTCTTTCCCCTTCTGAATTACACATTCTTAGAAAATAATAGCATCTCTGACTTGGTCCTGTGCCTGGCATATAGCTGGCATTCAGGACATATTTGATGGATGAATGAGAGAACAACTGAATGTCCTCCTAAGCTACATGTGGTATGAATAATGATTCTGCAACTGTCCAGAAAAAAATACTCTATAGGCATATACATAGCTACACTGAAACTAGCACATAACACTGGATGGAGCCCCATTTCCCTCAAATACTTTCAGTTTTTCAGAAATAAAGTATGCCTAAACTACTGTACATTTCTTTTAGACAAGTGGTTATATTAATCATGCACAAATTAAAAGACACCAATCTAGGTAGAGTTCCTTTAAGTACTACTATTTATTACAATAAAAGATTATTTTCAACATTCTCAACTATGGGACATCTGGTCTCTGCCAAGTAGACAGATCTGCATTCCAAGGTGCATATCTGCTGCGCCCACTTTGTGCACATTCACACCATTTAATGAAATACATAGCAATGACCACCCACAAGTACAGAAGTACTTCACACTAGGTCTGTACGTAAGAGCATAACTCTATATTCAGACCATGAAGCAAATCACACCAGTGATACCATATCATGAATGCTAGCCACACACTGTAAAACTCATTCTCTCAGCTGTTTTCCCTCATATCCTTTTCAATGATTTGAATGAAGAACGCTGTAGCTTCTCAGAAAAGGATCAGCTATTGCTGTAAGAATATGTGTACCAATTAAGATTTAAAAGAACACATTTACTTTCAAAAGACTGACTCATAAGGAGCAGTATGCTGCCAGTACACCCTGAGGATGAATCCCACTAGTTTGGAACAGAGGCTGCACATAAACTACCATCTTGACACATGCACAGGGAAGCTGGGTTCTTGATCAGAACTTTTTTAACCATATCACACACTCAAAGTGTAAATCATTTGTTAACACCATTTAATACAATACAAAGTGAATCAGACCTGCTGTAAATCTTCACTCACTCCATAACAAAATGCTTTCTACTGCAACTGTGATTCTAAAGCACTTTGTACAACCATCTATTATACCACTTAACAAAGTAGACTTATAATTATTATTTTCACACCACTAGACTCAGAGGTCATCTGAGTGCCTCACAGTACTCTGCACTAGCAGGTGTTTGCTGAATAAAGAATAAAATGCCACACTGAGGTAATTTGCTAGCCATGTTGGCCTTTCACATCTTGACTACATGTTATTTGGTAAAGACTCATCTACCATAAAAGTTTTGCTAATATTAACTAGTCTTGCAAACAACAGATTCGGGTTAATTTGTTTTAAGGATATTTTTATCAAAGACTAAGCTTTGTTACCATTCTTTAGAACTTTCAGTGAGAGACCACAAAAGTGTGCCCACAAAAACAACCTACATCTGAGTAAGTGCACTGTATGAGAGTCTTGAATGTTGTGTCATCTCCCGGCTTTGTAGCTCCTCCATTTCCTTTTGGTCTCATTTGTCCTCTTTCACAATAAAATAAAGCTCTTGACCACTGACATCTTGGCATGACTTTAAAGTATAAACTATTCAAAGGGTTCTTGTGTTTTCAGCTTTATCTGTTGTGATGGTTGATTGATTGTGTCAACATGAGAAGTTTAGTTAAGAGAGGTTTAACTAAATTGGCTCAGTAATTCCATGCTCTAAGATGTGGAAGACCCACCCTAGGGTGACTCTCTGTCATTTGGATGGTATAAAGGAGAAATGAGGAAGGACAGATCTGCTTCTCTTTCTTTAGAGACATCATCTCCTGGTTTCCAGTGCACACCCTTCAGCCTTATAGGATAGACTCTTTGGCCTTTTATCAAAGACCCATTGGCCTCCTGATACATACTCCCAAGGAACACTGCAGTGAGCTCCAGACCTTCAACTAAATTCTTCAGTCTCCAGTGTGCAGACAGACTTTCTGGACTCTTCCTCATCTGACTCTGTGGGTGGCCACTGTAAGCCAATTTTGTAAATTCATATGTATTTTTGTATCTTGTGTTATATGTGTTTCTCTAATGAATACTGATACTATTAGGGATGGGGAAGTTGGCTTTAAATTTGTTTGAGAGAGGTTTAAGGATCCTCAAGAGCTGGTGCTGTTAGTGATCTGACTCCCAGGTTCTGGACTTCGCTGCCTATGGGCAAGGTCCAGCCTGATGATCTGCAACAATGGGATCCTACATTTTCCCATGTAATGTGCGTCTCAAGTCTCTAAACCTTCATTCTCTTTGGAGCATCAAGGTTTTGACCACAACCATTTTTATTAACCTAAACAACATAACTTTGATCACTTCAGACCTACTGTTATAAACACTTCTACCAAACATTGGGGCGTTTGTTCCTCTATTGCTTTTAACAATTACCAAATAAAAATGGTAGTTTATGAATAACCAGTGGGAGTCAACAATTTCCTGTCTAATAAATACAAACACAGCCACTTCTTGATCCATCTGCAGAGGAGTCTATGCAAAAGGCCTCAAAAGTCACCTTTTAATCTCATCCCAAATAGGTATGTTCTACATCAAAGATAAACTCAGACATTATTTTATAATTTCTTTGAGACCCAACAAACCAAAGAGGTAGGAATTGCTTTAGACTCCAAATAGAGGGAAGTAGTGGCTACCAAAACTATTTACGTATGAAGTTTTTAAACAATTAATAAAAGAGGAAAATTAAATAAAAATATAAAGAATAATTTTACACATGACAACTAAAATTAAGACAAATTTGTTATTTAAGTGCTGAGCCGAGGTTAGTAATAGACTTTAGTAAGAAGCAGAAATCAACAAGGCCTATGAATATAATTTAATACACACAATTCAGGGTTGGTTTTTTTTAAGTTGAAAAATAAGTGGACTTTTCAGCTTAATTAGAAACTTTGGGATTAATGATCCTATGTCAGATTTGGATTTCAGTTATGCATTTTGGCTATAAACTACCATCAATCAAGCTCTACTAACTCCACAAGGAGAAAGATCCAGAATCACTTACTTTTACAAGCTCCTGCTGAGGCCATATCTGAATGGGTTCTACCTGTTGAGGAGTTTGAGTTTGAATACCATATGTGTTGAGAAAAACTTGAAGGCTAAAGAATGTAGGGAAAAGAAGATAAACACATTTTTAGACAAGGCATTTATAGTTCAGGAAATGAATGAGGAAGATAAAAGGCAATGCTAACTTGGACATACTATTTGTAATATCACCAATATGCCACATGCACTGGAATAGATACCCTCCTGGATGCTTCCCAAAGTATCAGACAGGAGCTTTAGGGGCTGACAGAAAGGGTAAATACTAATTTTGGCAATCGCCATAATGCATCTGCATTAATTTCTTAAAACTATATCCCAGGCAATACTGGCACTGGTCACAGTTTTTATTATTCATATCATCTAAGACTAAATTATTTTAAATAGGAAAAAATGCTGTGCTGGCACTTAAAATGACATGATAACATCTTTGAAACCATGTCAAGAGGCCTATGAAATTAATCTCTATTACCATAGTCAATATGGGAAGTATTAAGCAATCATTTCCCTCCCCTCCCCACAAAAGAATACACAGTGCCCATATGGATTCCATACCGTTGGCTTTCTGCTACAAGTGCTACATGAACTACCAAATCATTTTCCAGCGGACCCTGTAATATAAAATAAGGGAGAAAAAAATATTTAAAAAGATTTGGCTACCATCACTACAATGAGAATCAAGGACAATATTAACCATCTCTAAGCAGTTCATTAAAATGATGGACACCAGCTGCCTCTAAGCAGCCCCTTTTCTTTCCTTGCTTGCCACTGCCTACTAATCAATTTGATGGTGTAGACAGAGTAATGGAACACCAAGGAATGGAAAGTCATAAATCTCATTACTACTAGAGGGGCTAGACTGTCAGGGCTATTTTGAATGACGCATAAGAGTAGTTTGGGACTGAGAGTCATTTTCCATCATTTAATTCTGAAGGGAAGAGGATGAACTAAAAATAAAAGTCCATTTATATATTCCCTGTAAAAAAAAAATGACTGTGAGTTAAAACTTTTCATTTGACATCTTAACCACATATAAGGTTATTCCCTTTCTTGTTAGCCAATTTTCCTTTGGCACCTTATATACTGAAATAGCTTTTACATATATATATATATATATATATATATATAGCTTTAATATATTTTATAACTCTAATATAGAGTTCTTTGGTAGAGAATGAACTATCCAGTTGACTATTTAATTAACATTATGTTCATTAAATACCAGCTGTTGCACTTAATAGTTCTAATCAAAGGCAGTATTGGATATTTCCCACTCTTTTCCGTGTGGAAAAGATTCACTACAACATATATAATACATTGTTAAAATAAAACCAATTTTAAGTCTGTGTATAATTAACAGAGAACATTAAGAAGCAACAATAAATTACAGTATTAGAGACCTCTGAAAATACTGATCAAATATAACTCCTTTATAGTAATGAATCCAACATTCCCAATAATAAGCTGTAAAACATTTGATTTACTAGCAGTCAGCTCCTCTCCATGGTATTCACTATGCCACGAAAATTTATGTATGATGGCAGGCAAGAAACACCAGAATGCATAAATCAGCTGTAAATATACAATCAAAGGGATGGTTCCCAGAATCATTATGAAAATGCCATTACAGGCCGACTGGCATATGATTTAAATGAATGTATAAGAGAACATATATAACAACCCAGGAAAAACAAATACACATTTAATGTTACAAATTCTGTTTTTACTTAATAATGATCTTACAATTAAGTGTTTCTCAAAAGGATAAACAAATTAATTATGCAGAATCTCATCAAGATTTCTAATAAAAGAAAGGAGCTGATTCTTAATATAGTGTTTATTTTTTTAAAAGAAGGATTACCCTTAGAATGGGCCATTATGTACAGTTTCCAGAACAACTGTGGAATTTTCAAAAAGCAAGTGAATATATATATATATATATAATATGTATATACATATACATACACACACTAGAATACAGATGTAATTTCAGCAACTGTAAATAAGGCAGCTTACACATCCTAATGGATAAACTGGCATCTTCTTTTTGAATCACAGGCCTGTTTAGGATAATGTTGTTTCCACTGGTATGATGGAGTACTCAGATCTAAAATGGCCACTATACATGTTGAATCATGGTGAGCATGGTTAGGGACTACTAGATGGCTGAATAATTCTTCAACTATAAAAACCCAGCACCTTAGAAGTTTTAATTCACAAGCCATCGCCCATAATGAGGCTGAGCTTTCAATTCCAGCCCAAGTAGAACCCCTCATACCATTCTCCCCAAAGAGAATTCAGTATCTACAGTTCTATCACAATTCTCCTTTCCTTTCACTGCCCAAGAACCATCTTTTCTGTGTTACAATCATTTTTTAAAACTACCAACATTGCTGTCTAAACTACATGACATCTCTGTGATAGCATCCCAGTAGTAACTAATATCTTTTCTGTAATAACACTAATATTGTCAGCTATTAGGTTCAAAACCACACACACACACACCCATAGGTATGTGCACACATACTCAAGCCGTGTATGGTACTAGGATTTCTCCCCTTTACGTGCTTTCACTTACTCACTGAATTGACCAACAACATATCAATATACAAGTCTCCATGTTAGACCCTGACATTATAAGATGAGTATAATCCAGTGACTGGAGGACTAGAGGATACCAGAGTCTACTGGAAGAAAAGGATAAAAAAAACTTTTCATATGTGTTTATTATTACACAAAAATGTTTGGTTGGTGTCCTCTTTTTTTTTTTGACAGACTTACTTCATTAGAAAAATGGCTGCAGGGCATTATATAATATGAATAAATCCTATTTTAAGGAATGTTTATTTTGATGGACAATTTTCAGATCTGCAGAGACTATAATGACTGTCTTTACCTCAGAGAACTGCTGAGAACTTAGAGAAAGAATTAGTACTGAGCACAGTATCTGACACATAAAACATTGATAAATGCCACTAGTTCTTGCAGCTATTGTACTTACAGTTATGTTTGTAGCCAGTTAGACAGCTGCTCCTCTCTTCTTTGTTGAGATGTGCTATTAAAACCTATGTCACCCAAGATGGCACTGGCTTCCACCATTCTGACACATAAACCATCCATTATTCTATTTTTATATAGCTGGTTCTTTCTCAAAGAATTCCAGACATCCTTTAAAAGAAATCCTCAGGTGGCTTACCACCTTGCTTCATGCTGTGGTCTGAATGTTTGTCTCTCCCACCATCCAAATTCATGCATGGATCTTTTAATCCTGAAGTGATGCTATTAGGAAAAGCAGTTCCTTTGGGAAGTGATTGGATCATGGGAATAGAACCCTCATCATCATGATGGGCACTGTTACAAAAGACGATGGAGAGAGAGACAGACCCCTTGCTCTCTTAACCACGTGAAGACACAGTGAGAAGACATCATCATGAGCCAGAAAACAGTGCCACACCCAGACACTGAATCTGTCAGCTTTTAGATCATAGGCTTGCAGCTTCCAGAAGTGTGAGGAAACTTCTATTGTTTATAAACCACTCAGTTTATGGTATTTTGTTATAGCAGCCTGAACAAACTAAGACACATAACTATTTCCTTATCTTTCTTGCCTCTGCAATCTGCCCAGTATGCAACCTGCTTTGTCTTTAGAGACAGAGAATCCTCACAACCAGGTCATATATTCAATCCATTTCATTTCCTTTCTTTCTCACATAAATCTCATTCACTCTATAGTAGCTTAAAGGTACTGCTTAATCTCAGCAGATCATCCTGTTTGTATTTGTAGTTCTGAGCTTTCTCTTGCATCAGTTTCCACAATGTTATGGTAATTTCTTAGTGGATATTTTCTCTGGCCTTTTCTCAAGTTATCAGTTCTCAAACTTAACTCCTTACTAACCTCATCTCTACCCTAAATCAGCTCTTATTTCTTATACTTTATTTAATGGGTCACACCAGGTCAGAATTTCAGAATCATCTTCAACTCTCCCTTTTCATGCTTCAAATCCAATTATTCCCCAAAATTCTGTTAACCGCTCTTTCACAAAGTATCTTGCATCTTGTTTTTTTTTTTTTCTTTTCAACAGCTACCGAAAAGTAAAAAGAGCAGCAAAACCTTAATATAACTACACTCTGTGTGCCAGGAACTGTTTTAAGTGCTTAATAAACTACTACCCCCACTTTCCAGATAAGAATAAACAAGACTCAGAAAGCTTAAGTAACTTGTCTAAGGACAGAGAGCTAGCAAACAGCAGAGCTAGAATTCAGAGGCAGTTTGACTGCAGATTCTGGGCTCCAGGCCTGTCTTAGTTACTTTTCTTATTGCTAAGACAAAATGCCTGACCTTCAAAGTTAAAAGAGGAAAGGTTTATTGTAGGTCACAATAAAACCTCTACAAAGTGTAGAGGTTTCGGTTCATGGTTGGATGGTTCCATGGGCAAGAGGCATCACAGAAGAGAGACAGTTATAGAAGTCAGAAGGTAGCAAAGCAGCAGCAGGCCTGCCTTCTTTCTGTCCCTTTATATCCATCCAGGCTACCTGCCCTTTGGGTGATGCCACCCACAACTAGGGTGGGCCTTCCCATTATCTAGATCTAGAACAACGCCAAACCAACCAGTGTATTAATAGCCATACACCCTTAGTCCCTTCGTCACACACTCTAGATCCAACTACCTCTGAAAAACCCCATCTATGATGACCGCATGAGGCACTGGGGGGACATCTAGCCATAACACAACCACTCACTCATCCTACCTTTCAGCGAAATGAGAGTGGGTTTGGGAAGTGAAGAACACACGTAAGTTCCATGTCATTACTTTCTTCACCATGGCCTGTGTACTGCTTCACTCTTATTTTCCCTCTATGTTTCCACCACACCAGGTTCTGTCTCTTGAAATGTTGTGTGTCCATCATAAGGCCTTTGTACTGGCTCCATTAGTTTGGGATGCTCTTCTTGAGATTCCTGAATGACTATCTTATTGTGCAGGTCTTGACCATGTCCTTTCCTCACAGAGGCATTCTTTCACTACTATAGCCAAAGTTACTTTCTTTCCGTTATCTTCAGGTCCTTTTTACTACTTTATCTTATTTCGTCTACCTCATAGTATCTGTAAGCTCCAAAGATTATATTACATGATTTAGTGATTGTTATTCATCCACCAGAAAGTAACTCCCTGAGGGCAGCGGCCTCAATTTACCTTGTCTACTGCTTTGTCCACATTGCCTGGCACATATGACGCATCATTACTATTTGATGACAAACTGTCCAGGCAAATATCTTGGTTCTCTGTTTAATCAATAAAACGGAAATAATAATATTTAGAGTGCTTAGCACACACACAGAGGATCAAACAAAAGAGAACATATAAAATATTTATAAATTTTGATGTTACATGAATCATTTCATAGTTTTGTTAGGTGACTATGTCATTTAACCCTGCAATAAGCTTTGGTTTGTTCATCTATACATTGGGAATAAAAATATCTACTTCATAGTGTTATGAGGATGATATATAGCACATTAACATTTAACAATGGCATATCATAAGAATTAAAAAAATAACTAACTTCTTCAACACCAGTAACATAACCACAACCCTCGGTGAATGTACTAGGA